GACTTGAACTGGACACCATAAATGAAATGAATGTAGTGAAGCGAATGTAAAAAATCTTGGATAAAATTATCCAGAACAGACATAGGCATCTACAATACAACACACTAAAGATATATACAAAATAGATGATGAGAGAGAGACACACACAGACCCGGGCACCGCCGGCTACTCCATCTAGTGTTATGTATAAAAGCAGTTTCATTACTGAAGCATTACCGTGCGTGATATTTTTTTCACTCTGAGCTGTGAATAATTGCAGAGACGTCTGCGACCTACATAACTTTTGCATTCTTCAGTGCCAAATGGCAAGTGATGTGTCATTTGTGGAGCCGTAAAGCCTGGACGAGCGGGTCACCAGCCCGGGCGTTATTCTCAGGTTGTGTAGCGGGGTATTATTGGTGCTCGGTGCTGTGGTGAGCCGCAGCCGGTGCTGCTGCGCCTCCTCCTCCTTACTGACTCTTAATGACTCTACCTCATAGTTGACACCTGTCAGTACACGCACGCACACACACACACACACACACACACACACACACACACACACACACACACACACACACACACACACACACACACACACACACACACACACACACACACACATATACGTATTCATTTCCATGCCTCGTATTCAATTTTAAATTTTGCTCGTAACTCACCATTTTCACCCCCCCCTGCCTCCCCCCCCCCCCCCCCCATTCCCCTTCTCCTTCCCCAATTCCCCCCACCCCCAACCCCACACCCCCACCCCCCACACCCCCACTCCCCCCCACACCCCCCCACACCCCCACACCCCCCCACCCCCCACCCCCCCCACACCCACACCCCACACCTGCATAATGAGTGTGCAGATATTATTAAACTAAAAGGAACTTAACCCCGCCATCTTCACCTTCTTGAGCTCCTGGAGTAGAGCCCTCGTGTTGAGCTCCTGGAGTAGAGCTCTCGTGTTGAGCTCCTGGAGTAGAGCCCTCATGTTGAGCTCCTGGAGTAGAGCTCTCGTGTTGAGCTCCTGGAGTAGTGCCCTTATGTTGAGCTCCTGGAGTAGAGCCCTCATATTGAGCTCCTGGAGTAGAGCCCTCATGTTGAGCTCCTGGAGTAGAGCTCTCGTGTTGAGCTCCTGGAGTAGTGCCCTTATGTTGAGCTCCGGGAGTAGAGCCCTCATGTTGAGCTCCTGGAGTAGAGGCCTCGTGTTGAGCTCCTAGAGTAGAGCCCTCATGTTGAGCTCCTGGAGTAGAGGCCTCGTGTTGAGCTCCTGGAGTAGAGCCCTCATGTTGAGCTCCGGGAGTAGTGCCCTTATGTTGAGCTCCTGGAGTAGAGCCCTCATGTTGAGCTCCTGGAGTAGAGCCCTTATGTTGAGCTCCTGGAGTAGTGCCCTTATGTTGAGCTCCTGGAGTAGAGCCCTCATGTTGAGCTCCTGGAATAGAGCCCTCATGTTGAGCTCCTGGAGTAGAGCCCTCGTGTTGAGCTCCTGGAATAGAGCTCCTCACATTCTAGGAAAACTCACATTTCACTTCTTATGTTTAATGAAAAGAATATTTTAGCTCAGCAGCCCTGAGCTGTGTGGTGAGGCTGGGGTGCAGGTGTGTGGTGAGGCTGGGGTGCAGGTGTGTGGTGAGGCTGGGGTGCAGGTGTGGGGTGAGGCTGGGGTGCAGGTGGTGTGGTGAGGCTGGGGTGCAGGTGTGTGGTGAGGCTGGGGTGCAGGTGTGGGGTGAGGCTGGGTGCAGGTGTGTGGGTGAGGCTGGGGTGCAGGTGTGTGGTGAGGCTGGGGTGCAGGTGTGGGGTGAGGCTGGGTGCAGGTGTGGGGTAGGCTGGGGTGCAGGTGTGTGTGAGGCTGGGGTGCAGGTGTGGGGTGAGGCTGGGGTGCAGGTGTGGGGTGAGGCTGGGGTGCAGGTGTGGGGTGAGGCTGGGGTGCAGGTGTGGGGTGAGGCTGGGGTGCAGGTGTGGGTGAGGGCTGGGGTGCAGGTGTGGGGTGAGGCTGGGGTGCAGGTGTGGGGTGAGGCTGGGGTGCAGGTGTGGGGTGAGGCTGGAGTGCAGGTGTGGGGTGCAGGTGTGGGGTGAGGCTGGGGTGCAGGTGTGGGGTGAGGCTGGGGTGCAGGTGTGTGGTGAGGCTGGGGTGCAGGTGTGGGTGAGGCTGGGGTGCAGGTGTGGGGTGAGGCTGGGGTGCAGGTGTGGGGTGCAGGTGTGGGTTGAGGCTGGGGTGCAGGTGTGGGGGTGAGGCTGGGAGTGCAGGTGTGGGTGTGCAGGTGTGGGGTGTGCAGGTGTGGGCTTTGCAGGTGTGGGGTGAGGCTGGGTATGCAGGTGTGGGGTGAGGCTGGGGTGCAGGTGTGGGGTGAGGCTGGGGTGCAGGTGTGGGGTGAGGCTGGGGTGCAGGTGTGGGGTGAGGCTGGGGTGCAGGTGTGGGTGAGGCTGGGGTGCAGGTGTGGGGTGAGGCTGGGGTGCAGGTGTGGGGTGAGGCTGGGTGCAGGTGTGGGGTGAGGGGGGTGCAGGTGTGGGGTGTGGCTGGGGTGCAGGTGTGGGGTGAGGCTGGGGTGCAGGTGTGGGGTGCAGTGTGGGGTGAGGCTGGGGTGCAGGTGTGGGGTGAGGCTGGGGTGCAGGTGTGGGGTGAGGCTGGGGTGCAGGTGTGGGGTGAGGCTGGGGTGCAGGTGTGGGGTGAGGCTGGGGTGCAGGGGTGGGGTGAGGCTGGGTGCAGGTGTGGGGTGTGCTGGGGTGCAGGTGTGGGGTGAGGCTGGGTCAGGTGCAGGTGTGGGGTGCAGGTGTGGGGTGAGGCTGGGGTGCAGGTGTGGGGTGAGGCTGGGGTGCAGGTGTGGGGTGTGGCTGGGGTGCAGGTGTGGGGTGAGGCTGGGGTGCAGGTGTGGGGTGAGGCTGGGGTGCAGTGTGGGGTGTGAGGCTGGGTGCAGGTGTGGGGTGAGGCTGGGGTGCAGGTGTGGGGTGAGGCTGGGGTGCAGGTGTGGGTGAGGCTGGGTGCAGGTGTGGGGTGAGGCTGGGGTGCAGGTGTGGGGTGAGGCTGGGGTGCAGGTGTGGGGTGAGGCTGGGGTGCAGGTGTGGGTGTGAGGCTGGTGTGCAGGTGTGGGGTGAGGCTGGGGTGCAGGTGTGGGGTGAGGCTGGGGTGCAGGTGTGGGGTGTGGCTGGGGTGCAGGTGTGGGGTGAGGCTGGTGTGCAGGTGTGGGGTGAGGCTGGGGTGCAGGTGTGGGCTTTGAGGCTGGGGTGCAGGTGTGGGGTGAGGCTGGGGTGCAGGTGTGGGGTGAGGCTGGTGTGCAGGTGTGGGGTGAGGCTGGGTGCAGGTGTGGTGAGGTGGGGGTGCAGGTGTGGGGTGAGGCTGGGGTGCAGGTGTGCTGGTGAGGCTGGGGTGCAGGTGTGGGTGAGGTGTGGGGTGCAGGTGTGGGTGAGGCTGGGGTGCAGGTGTGGGGTGAGGCTGGGGTGCAGGTGTGGGGTGTGCTGGGGTGCAGGTGTGGGGTGAGGCTGGGTGCAGGTGTGGGGGTGAGGCTGGGGTGCAGGTGTGGGGTGAGGCTGGTGTGGGTGTGGGGTGAGGCTGGGGTGCAGGTGTGGGGTGAGGCTGGGGTGTGCAGGTGTGGGGTGTGGCTGGGTGTGCAGGTGTGGGGTGAGGCTGGGGTGCAGGTGTGGGGTGAGGCTGGGGTGCAGGTGTGGGGTGAGGCTGGGGTATGCAGGTGTGGGGTGAGGCTGGGGTGCAGGTGTGTGGTGAGGCTGGGGTGCAGGTGTGGGGTGAGGCTGGGGTGCAGGTGTGGGGTGAGGCTGGGGTGCAGGTGTGGGGTGAGGCTGGGGTGCAGGTGTGGGGTGAGGCTGGGGTGCAGGTGTGGGGTGAGGCTGGGGTGCAGGGTGTGGGGTGAGGCTGGGGTGCAGGTGTGTGGTGAGGCTGGGGTGCAGGTGTGGGTGAGGCTGGGGTGCAGGTGTGGGGTGAGGCTGGGGTGCAGGTGTGGGTGAGGCTGGGGTGCAGGTGTGGGGGTGAGGCTGGGGTGCAGGTGTGGGGTGAAGCTGGGGTGCAGGTGTGGGGTGAGGCTGGAGTGTTAGCTCCAGCGTTGGATTTATTTTGTAAAAGTAACAAAATTTGAAATAATATTGGAAAATTAAAATTTATTCTGAATCGATGTTCTCTAAAATCTTGTTTTTCCTCCCTCTTCCTCCCCTCCCTGCCTCCCTCCCTGCCTCCCTCCCTGCCTCCCTCCCTCCTCCCTCCCTGCCTCCCTCCCTGCCTCCCTCCCTGCCTCCCTCCCTGCCTCCCTCCCTGCCTCCCTCCCTGCCTCCCCCTGCCTCCTCCCTCCCTGCCTCCCTCCCTGCCTCCCTCCCTGCCTCCCTCCCTGCCTCCCTCCCTGCCTCCCTCCCTGCCTCCCTCCCTGCCTCCCTCCCTGCCTCCCTCCCTGCCTCCCCCTGCCTCCCTCCCTGCCTCCCTCCCTGCCTCCCTCCCTGCCTCCCCCTGCCTCCCTCCCTGCCTCCCCCCCCTGCCTCCCTCCCTGCCTCCCTCCCTGCCTCCCTGCCTCCCTCCCTGCCTCCCTCCCTGCCTCCCTGCCTCCCCCCCCCATGCCTCCCCCCCCCCTGCCTCCCCTGCCTCCCCCTGCCTCCCCTGCCTCCCTCCCTGCCTCCCTCCCTGCCTCCCCCTGCCTCCCCCTGCCTCCCTGCCCCCCTGCCTCCCCCCCTGCCTCCCTCCCTGCCTCCCCCCCCTGCCTCCCTCCCTGCCTCCCTCCCTGCCTTCCCCTGCCTCCCTGCCAGTCGTGGTGGTCCTCAGCTACACAGCCTCACCGTTCTCACGCCAGATTCACTTCGGGACAGTGGAGGAAATTACTAGAAATTGGATCCATCCCCCCCCCTCCCCCTCCCTTACCTAACCCTCACACACAACGCACACACACGCCGCCTGTGGCAGGCGAGTGTGACAGGTTCACCATAACCTGCCCTGCTGGCAACTGTTGTTCCCAGTACCTGAATCTAAAACAACAAACATACACAGTTTCAAGTGTAGATATGATAGAGCCCAGTAGGCTCAAGAACCTGTACACCAGTTGATTGACAGTTGAGAGGCGGGACCAAAGAGCCAGAGCTCAACCCCCGCTAGCACAATTAGGTGCGTACACACACACAACACTTGTTTAATATGTTCATAATGTTTGTACTCACCTAGTTGTGCCTCCGGGGGTTAAGCTTTTGGTGATTTGGTTCCGCCTTTCAACTGTCAACCAACAATGTGCGTGTGTGTGTGTGTGTGTGCGTGCGTGCATGTGTGTGCGTGCGTGCGTGCGTGCGTGCGCGCGCCTGCCTCAGGTGTTCATGCCCAACTCCATAAACAGTCATCATCATAATACGCAGGTTGGATCCCACCGCCCTGCTCCAGAGGTGTTACCGTAGAGAGAGATCACGTTAGGGTGACGTGGTCGTGTACAGCAGCGAGACGTGTCCTGCCACCTGCATCATGTCCATCTCCACGTGATGGGCAGTAACGAGGGAGCCGGTACATTAAGGTCTGGTCCCGCCCGTTACTACAGCCAGCTTGGCACAGTCTTCTGTGATACAGCTGTACGCGCCAGTAACGAGGGAGCCAGTAACGAGGGAGCCAGTAACGGAGCCAGTAACGAGGGAACCAGTAACGAGGGACCGGTAACGAGCGAGCCAGTAACGAGGGAGTCAGTAACGAGGGAGCCTGGGGGGGGGTGGAAACAACCATGTATGCCAAGATTAAATGTTGATGTATTCGATCTGCCTTGATGGACAGTTCAGTCCCCTAAAACTGCCCACAATAACCCTTTTATGGTTATACTCTCCTCCCCTCCCTTCCCTACCCTTCCCTTCCCTTCCCTTCCCCTTCCCTTCCCTCCCCTTCCCTCCTCTTCCCCTCCCCTTCCTTCCCTCGTGTCCCTTCTTCCATCCCAGCCGCCCCCTCCCTCCTCCTACTGCCTCTTACAGAGACATTTCTAGGGGTCTCCAGGAGTGAGGTAGAGGGGTAAGGGAGGGTTGAGGGGGTGGGGGAGGAGGAAGAGGAAGTAAGAAAACGGGGAAGAGGGGAAGGGAAGGAAGAGGGGTGAGGGTTTAATAGTCGCATATATTCACTGTTGTGAGAGAGAAAGAGAAGGGGACGACAAGGGGTGAGGGAGAGGGGATAAGGAGGAGAGGAGGAAGGAGAGAGAGAAGAGAACATTTGATGAGGATGGAAGAAGAAAGAGAGACCCGGGCACGACCGGTTATTCCATCTATCTAACACATGTAAAAAGTATGATGTACATAGTCGGTCATTCGTCATTGTGTGGAGGCTGTGGGTCGGCTTCTGTTGCGATTCCCAGCGACTTCAATGAATCAGGAATCTCTGATTCTGATTCTGAATCTCTCTGGTTTTCAAGAGAGATTTTCAACTGTTCATATTATCCCAACTTACAACCTAGCCACAACGTTTGGCAGTGTCACTTGACACCAATCCCGTACCTATGTACCCAACAGCAATTACTGGAAAATAAGAGTGAAACCAAGGGTCTGACATGCAAAATCAGACAAACATTTACACACACACACAAGATTGTCACATTCCTGCCCACTGTGAGGGTGGGTTTGGAGGTCTGATATATCAACCACGTTGTTGTGACTTGTAGATTGTTACGTGATTGGTACAGCCACTGTAGCCCCTATCCTGCCCCTTCTCCCTCCCTCCCCCTCTTCCCCCTCCTCCTCCCACAACACCTGCTTGTGTTGACATAGTCAGGGTGACGTCTGTAAGTTATCACAGGTGTTGACATAGTCAGGGTGACGTCTGTAAGGCATCACAGGTGTTGACATAGTCAGGGTGGCGTCTGTAAGTCATCACAGGTGTTGACATAGTCAGGGTGACGTCTGTAAGGCATCACAGGTGTTGACATAGTCAGGGGTGACGTCTGTAGGTCATCACAGGTGTTGACATAGTCAGAGTGACGTCTGTAGGTCATCACAGGTGTTGTCATAGACAGAGTGACGTCTGTAGGGCATCACAGGTGTTGTCATAGACAGAGTGACGTCTGTAGGGCATCACAGGTGTTGTCATAGACAGAGTGACGTCTGTAGGGCATCACAGGTGTTGTCATAGACAGAGTGACGTCTGCAGGGCATCACAGGTGTTGACATAGTCAGGGGTGACGTCTGTAAGGCATCACAGGTGTTGACATAGTCAGGGGTGACGTCTGTAAGGCATCACAGGTGTTGTCATAGTCAGGGGTGACGTCTGCAGGGCGTCACAGGTGTTGACATAGTCAGGGGTGACGTCTGCAGGGCGTCACAGGTGTTAACATAGTCAGGGGTGACGTCTGCAGGGCGTCACAACGTTCTCATTAGTAATTGCCCAGGTTCAAAATATCGAGTTGCAATTGGTTGGTTGAGGCGCTGTTGAAACTTAACCTACCGTAATGGGAGATTGCCTGGCGCCTCGTTCTGTCTTGTCGCCCCCGTCCTCTCGTACTCCCTGTCCTGTCCTGTCTACCCCGTCCTCTCCTGTCAACCCCGTCCTCTCCTGTCAACCCCGTCCTCTCCGGTCAACTAGAGGGCCGTCCACAAGAGCTCATCCATTAGAGGCCTGCATGCAAGAATTTAAAACCAATGTAATTAGTGTGCCTGCGTCATCTGATCACCCGTCACTTTTCCTCCCGATGGAAAAAGATCTTCAAAAAGCAGGTTTGCCGGGAGGTAATTAATTTGAGCCGAGCGACAGGTTTGGTGCCAACAAGGGAACCGTCTGGGTGCTGGTCTCTGGGACTGGCATTACCTGTACCCGGCAGGTGTGGGGTTACGCCAGGGCAGGTGTGGGGGGGTCAGGTGTGGGATCGCGCCAGGACAGGTGTGGGGTCACGCCATGACAGGTGTGGGGTCACGCCAGGACAGGTGTGGGGGGGTCAGGTGTGGGATCACGCCAGGACAGGTGTGGGGGTCAGGCTAGGTCAGGTCGTGTAGGACTGCCTTGTCTCCCCTTGTATCTGTGTGTACGTGTATGCATCTCTAAGGGCTGTTAGAGGTCTTGGTAGCCCTGGCAGGGTCTTGGTAGCCCTGGCTGGGTCTTGGTAGCCCTGGCTGGGTCTTGGTAGCCCTGCCAGGGTCTCGGGAGGCCAGTAGTAACTGCCAGACCTCGTGTCACAACCCGCGGAACACATTAAATCAACACGTTAATAATTAATCATGTGATCAACGATCTTTTTAAGTCAGAGTCAGACAAATTCGTATTAATTATTTTGATATTTCAGTCTATGCGTCTGGCGTTGTTGCGTTACCTTCACATAACATCGGGCAGATGTGCATTCCTCATCGATCGTGGCCAGTTTTTGGCTCCTGGCCTTGCCTGGTCTGGCCGGACTTGGCCTGGCCTTGTCTGGCCGGACTTGGGCTGGCCTGGCGTGGGCTGGCCTGGCCTGGCCTGGTGTGGCTTGCCTGGCGACGTCTGGATTACATAGTGGCAGAAGGTGACGATGTCTGTCAGTGTTAGCGAGGCGTGATCATGGTAATATTTACAACAGCCATCATAATAACACATTGAGTTGTAGAGACCTGTAGCAACACTGATCTCGTTTTAAAAGCTGTTAGGTAGCTTGTGAATGTGTGTGTGTTATCCCGAGTCTGTTATGTGTAACATGTCTATTGTGTTTGTCGTGTCGATGTGTGGGGCCAAGTCTGGCTCGAATCGTACCGAACCTTCCCGAACCAACGTGTTGAAACTTTCCAGAATGTTCTCGGGGCTTTTAAAACGTTGCAGCATGTTTGAATCCCCCACCAGACATCCTCAGACCGTATCATCAGTTTCTTGAAAACTCTGAAACATTCTGTCAAACGTTGTCTGAATCTTTTGAAAAGAGATGAAGCCTCACCTGATGCTTCTGAACCCTTCAAAACAATTGTTTACTTCTTGTGGGTCTCCCGAGGCATTATCTGAAGCCTTGCATATACTCTGAAGTCTTCTAAGCATATTTGTTCTGCCTCGTAATTCATTTTCAACCCTTAAACCTGTATATTAAAGCACAGGGGCGTTCCTCGGCTCTTCCAAGATATCTCCCCGAACTCCGAAAGTTCTCTAAGCTGCCTTGATCCATATTCCGATACTTCGCATTTTCCTGCAACTCTGTCAGTATTTTCTGAACCATTTTATCCACTTTCAGTTTGTCTCATCTTTTGGGAGAAATGTTCCTTGGTGTTCGCTGCTATCTCATCTTGAGCCCGCCTCATGGGGCTCTGAGTCTGCCTCATGGGGCTCTGAGTCTGCTTCATGGAGCTCTGAGTCTGCCTCATGGGGCTCTGAGTCTGCCTCATGGGGCTCTGAGTCTGCCTCATGGGGCTCTGAGTCTGCCTCATGGGGCTCTGAGTCTGCCTCATGGGGCTCTGAGTCTGGCTCATGGGGCTCTGAGTCTGCCTCATGGGGCTCTGAGTCTGCCTCATGGGGCTCTGAGTCTGCCTCATGGGGCTCTGAGTCTGCCTCATGGGGCTCTGAGTCTGCCTCATGGGGCTCTGAGTCTGCCTCATGGGGCTCTGAGTCTGCCTCATGGGACTCTTGAGTCTGCCTCATGGAGCTCTGAGTCTGCCTCATGGAGCTCTGAGTCTGCCTCATGGGGCTCTGAGTCTGCCTCATGGGGCTCTGAGTCTGCCTCATGTACTCTGAGTCTGCCTCAAGTAAATTAAATAATTATTGTATCACAATATATATTAATAAGCGTGATGACAGTAGCCTGAGTGAGAGGGGCGTGAGGGAGCGGCCGTCGCCACCACGGGCGTCAGTCAGGAGAGAAACCCGTTACACAGTTCTCTCCTCCACTACTGTTCTTGAGCGCAGTAGTTGACTCTCCTAACACGAACGGCTCTCGTCGCTAATGAGTTGAATTTGTTGCAAGAGTTTTAGTTAATTTATTATGCACCCCATACCCATCTTGTGGGCGTAGTGGGTTACAGAGGCACATAATGGGCTCAGGGACTGAACCTCACAATTGATTTAGGTAAGCAAGTTACAATCTTGATGAGCTAGTTATAAAATTCAGTTTAAGTCGTCAACAATGGGTTCGAGATCGACCACAAATACAGTTTCTAAATTAAGCAACTGACATATGTGGAGAGCTAGTGTCACAATTGATATGTTTGTCCTGCACACCGCCCCCCATCCAGTGGGCAGCGGTGGATAGGTTACAATCACTTAGTTACTACCTACAGTTTGTAAACTGGGGATATTTGGATAAGGCTTCTGGTAGCAGATCATTTTAAATGAAATATTGACACATCGCTGGAACATTGGTTATAGAATTTTCTCTAAATTCACGTATCTTTTCGCACTCCATCACATAGTGACGGAGGGTGTGCGAATAATTTTGTTGACACAGTTTACATTTGGTCAGGTCTACATCAGCAGATAATGAGAATTCCCAGAGATACTTGTAACCGAGTCTAAGCCGAGCAGTAGTAACATCTAGAAGTCTGCTGATATTATTGGATGAACCATAGATGTGTGGCTCCTCTTGCATGATAGTATGATGATAGATGGAATTACTGGTGTTAATTTGCCTCAGATCTACAAGATCTTGTTGAAGTTCTTGGTGTACTACTGCACTCAGACTGCTTATTGACAATCCACAAGGATATTAATAATGGTTACAGTCCATTTTATGTGGATTCCATCTCATGTTGGCCTCAGAATACATAATACAGCTGATTAGGTAGCCAAAAAATTTGCCTTTAAAGGTGACACAGAGGAATGAGGAACAAACATCGGACTGCCTATAAGTAGTATTGGAGCAGTATTACACCAAAGAACTTCAACAAAACCTTTCTTTAAGAATTCAGTGAATTTTAGATTGTTGTCTTGACTTCCTCACAACATTTTTTGGACCAGAAATGGAGCTTTTCTGTTAAGTGTGGTGAGCAGTTCTTGCCCCCAAGTGAAGCCTTTAGTGGGCGGGAGTTGTGGGGTGCACCCCCCCCCCCCAGCCACCCCCCAGCCACCCCCCAGCCATCCCCCCTAGCCACCTCCCCCCCAGCCACCTCCCCCCAGCCACCTCCAGCCATCCCCCCCAGCCACCTCCCCCCAGCCACCTCCCCCCCCAGCCACCTCCAGTCACCTCCAAACACATACCTTTTTTGTCCCTCTGAGAACCTCCTCAAGTTCTCAGTCTTGAGGAGAGCCTTTTATGGCTCACTATTGTGCCTCCTTCCACCCTCCCTATTGTCTCCTCCTCCTCCACCCCCTCTCACGCACCTCCACCTCCTCCCCCCCTCATCTCTCCCCCCCCCTACCACTCCTCTTGCAGGAAATACCATCTTCTGAAGAGGAGACTCGGTTAGTTGTGGTGTGTGTGTGTGTGTGTGTGTGTGTGTGTGTGTGTGTGTGTGTGTGTGTGTGTGTGTGTGTGTTTGTGTGTGTGTGTGTGTGTATTTACTATTTGAATCTCCAGAATCAAGCTATTAGCTCTTGGACCCCGCCTTTCTAACTTATTTATTTTTTCTCTATTATGTCTACTGCATATATTTCTCTCTAACACACACACATACACACACAAAACGATATAGAAACGTTTGGCGAAACGTTTCTAGGCGTCAGACCATAAGTAAAGTGTGAAAACGAACTTTGGAGAGTTAATTTTTCAACTACCCTCGACAGTGAAGAAAAAACAGAAGTAATATTGAGAAGATTTGTATTAGAATCATCAATATTACCTTTTTGGTCATATTCAACAACATGTCTATTAATATACACACATTTCCATAAAGCAGTATGAAGTTTATTACCACTTCTGGCATTTGCACAACATATATTCACAGCCAGATATACACACATATATACAGCGCGAGATATACACACATATATACAGCGCGAGATATACACACATATATACAGCGCGAGATATACACACATATATACAGCGCGAGATATACACACATATATACAGCGCGAGATATACACACATATATACAGCGCGAGATATACACACATATATACAGCGCGAGATATACACACATATATACAGCGCGAGATATACACACATATATACAGCGCGAGATATACACACATATCACACTCGCAACACCAAGGATTATCACCACCTGTAATAAACATACACCACGCACATACGTATACACAAACATACATACATTAGCTGCCAGGATTACTGGCACTCTCCAGCGGCACTAAACTATGACAAAGGATACAAAGGCAACTATGACAAAGGCTTCTAGTAGGTCTATATACAACCTGTACACACTGTATAGATCTGGGTAAATTATGTAAGTCATATTCACGGAGAGAGAGAGAGAGAGAGAGAGAGAGAGAGAGAGAGAGAGGGGGGGGAGAGAGAGAGAGAGAGAGAGGAAGAGAGAGAGAGAGAGAGGGAGAGAGAGAGAGGAGAGAGAAAGAGGGAGAGAGGAGAGAGAGGGAGAGAGAGAGAGGGGGAGAGAGAGAGAGAGGGGCGAGAGAGAGAGAGGGAGAGAAGATAGAGAGAGAGGGAGAGAGAAGAGAGAGAGAGAGAGGAGAAGAGAGAGAGAGAGAGAGAGAGAGAGAGAGAGAGAGAGAGGAGAAGAGAGAGAGAGAGAGAGAGAGAGAGAGAGAGAGGTGAGAGAGAGAGGGAGAGAGAAGAGGGGAGAGAGAGATGGAGAGAGAGAGGGAGAGAGAGAGGGAGAGAGAGAGGGAGAGAGGAGAGAGAGAGGAGAGAGAGAGAGAGAGAGGAGAGAGAGGAGAGAGAAGAGAGAGAGAGAGAGAGGAGAGGAGAGAGAGGGCTATGAGAGGAGGAGAGAGAGGAGAGAGAGAGAGAGAGAGAGAGGAGAGAGAGAGAGAGAGAGAGAGAGAGAGAGAGAGAGACTATGACAAAGTCTGGGGTGTGAGTTTTTCATTTATATATATATATATATATATATATATATATATATATATATATATATATATATATATATATATATATATATATATATATATATATATATATATATCACAGATTGTTTGTGATGTCCGTCTATATATATTTTCCGTATGTAAATTATTATGTATCTCTCCCGCCGGCGCTCAAGAGAATAAAGATTTACTTTTGAGCCGGTCCCAGTAATTTAGATGGTTTACTGAGTGGATTGTAGCAGTGAAGGATTTCTGCAGGAGGCTGGAATTGTGTACACAGAAACTAAGAGAGAGACACAGAGAAGCAGTACGAGAATGACATTGCCTACAAGGCTACGTCGCAGCCTAAACTGTGCTGTAGTGGGGGAATTACACCTCTCCGACCTGTTACTCTAAATTAATTTCAAGAAAAAGGAATTATATGGGCATCAATTAATTTGATAAAATTATACCAAATTAACTAACTGAAAATTATATAAATTATCAAGACAACAAATTAAGTGATTACTCAGGAAACCAACTCAAATTAATGTCACAGAGTTTGACCAATTAGTGTGGACTTGCTCTAGTAATTTGCTGGTAGGGAAGGTCACCCACAAGGTCACATCACTGCTCTTGTCCACCCGTCGAGAGGTACACATTTATAATTTATAGTAAATTGAGCAATATAATTATGGCAGCGAAATCACTGGTTCGTATCAGCGCTTCCAATTTCACAATCAACCAAAAAATTAGCCTAATGAATAAATGAATATTATTATTTTTTTGAAAGATTTATCTACACTACAGAAATTGTTCCAGTTATTTATATAAATATAAATCACTGCTCAGGATTAATTGACTTAAAAAGTCTGGGGTAAAGAGCGCATGTTGTAACCAGACCCTGAAATTAACCGTTAAATAACATAGGTGCGCATCAATTAACCTCCATTAATAATGTCGTAAATCATCAGCATACTGTTGCTGAGCCTAGTTCACCTAGCTAGTACCGTTTACAGTACTTGTTATAGATGTAGAGCGCTTCTAGCACTTAGAGTTCGGTTAGAAATTGTCTCCGGAACTGACTGAAGATTCTGGAACGACTTGGACGAATAACTCCTTAACAT